GATGCAGCAGATTCAAAGAATTCAACCAGCACTTTTAGAAAGAACAGTACCCAAAAATCATGCAAACAAACCACAGAAAAAAGATAATTGTGTTCTACTCTAGGATTAGTAGATAATGAGATTTAATTTTCGCAGCTGAACAGGAAGTGGGGAAAAAAAAAGATTTTGATATTAAAACAGTTGCTGACAAGGAGGACCTTTGTCATTACAGAATACCTGTTCAACTTTCTGTGGGTCGGTTTGGAATGGGAACACATACCAACAGCTTTACCATACTTAGCTTACCGCAAGTGTTTTCAATTACAGTGTTTCAATCTCTTGAAGTTTTGGACAGAAAGCAGAAATAATGCAGGAGATTTGCGTTAAAGCTGGTTGTTTTGTGTAATTTGGCAAGAAAAAGAATGTAGCTCCCAGCCTTACAACATAAATTTGTAGCTGTAACAGTATTTTGACTTTTATGTGGCTTAAAAGTGAAGAATATGTGGACATTTTATGGCCAGTGTATGGTGACACGTGACCACTATTTGGAATGAATAAAAAAATTCTGGTGTTTCAGTCTGATTGTGATTTGATAACCCTTTCATTTCATAAGTGATGTATATGCAACTTCTCATTTTCTTATTAATCATATTTTAAGTAAAAAGAGGATGAGAATGTGGAAAGTGATCAGCTTGAAAACTTTGACATAACTCTTTACACCCTAAAATCAGTGAGCATATTCTCTGTATTGTTCTTAATACATTTCCTAAGTTGCTGACAAGGAGAATTTCATGTCCATTATGTTTGATTCAGCTGTGATATTGTAAGGAGAAATAAGAGGACTATCATTCTGTGGGCTCAAAGGGTTAGGAAACCTGTATTACTTGCTGAAGAGTATTACTTCTCACATGATAGGTGTGTAAGGGGTGATTTTAGGGTTAATACAAACTGTTGATATCCGTTGCAAGAGAAACTTTCCATTGTTAAAGCCATGCCCCTGATTTGTGTGGCTTTCATGGAATTAATTTTTTTTGTCACTTTGGGAAGTTGTTTCAAATTGCTCCAATAACTCTGACATGCTCTACATGGATCCTTCATGAAAACCATCACAAGATTTGAAGGGTTACAGGGAATTAAGCTGATCAGGACTTTGATGCAAAAACTTATTCTCCTTGAGTTTCCACATGAAATACAAACTAATTTGGAAGGAGAATATCACAGTCAATCAGAAGTCACATGCAGTGTTCTCACTTGCATCCCTTAACTGATTCCCTACACCCCTTAACCCTTTCCTTCTTGGCATTAGTATGCATATCTTCCATACTGTTTCCTAAACATTCCCTAAATTGCTGATGAGGAGAATTTGATTCATAATCCATAGCTTTTCTAGTTGGTAACCATTTCCTTTATTATCATGACCTTACTCTTTCATTCAGGGGTGATATTATAAGGAGAAATTGGATGCAAGTCACTCTTAGGTGGTTAAAGGGTTAACTCCACACAATTTTGACTTTGGAGGGGGCTCTTGAGCTTTATTAGAAACAAGGGTAGAGAAGCATTTTTCTGTTTTCTGTGCACAGTATTTGATAAGTTATGAAAAAAACTGTTCTTGACCTGACCTATTAAAACTATCCACCTATGTCATTTGGATGTGGCAATATGGCGAAAAACAAAGTGGGGGTACTTGGGAGGTACACACTTTTGCGCGGTCATGACCCTTAGAACTTCAAAGACTAATTGTTGTATAACTTCAAGAAATGCAAAATATTATTCAGCAAACAAGATGAAAAAATTAGGATGCCTTAAATTATGCAGGCATTATTAACAACTTTGATCTTAATTTATCTGACCCTAATGATACTATTCAAACTGATTAGCAGTTTCAAAAGCTCAAACATTTTTACCCTAATTCTATTAGTGTGTCGGTACATAGAATTGCGGTCGTTCCCCCGACGAACAAACAGTGCATCAAATTACAGAGATTAAGCTGTTATTCCACTTTTTAATTTCTTTTAGATACTTGTTGACCGTGTTATCAAAACAACAGCTTATTCAACCACTGGGATATTTAACTTCTTCGGAACTTCTGCGATCAAAAGCGAAATCATTTTTTTTATGTAATAGACGCATCGAGGCCAAATATTTGAGGCAAAAAGTCAGCTGTGATGTCAGTATACAACTCAGAAAAATATTACACCACTCATATTGTATTTCGTAACAAAAACTCATAAAACACTAGTTTTATTTTATGATACCATTTTAAAGAACTCTACACAACTCATAGATAAGACGATATATACATCAGGCGCAATGACTTCGAAGTTCGGGCGGAATGACCGGATACCGGTACATAGTATAATAGTTCGGCCGAACGAGTAGTTTATTAACGGAAAATCATTTGACCAAAAAGCTTGAGCAAGAAAACGAGCATAGATGACACTGTGTTTCTCAGTTGGATAGGACTTTTTGCGAATGTGGTGGCTCCTAAAAGAGCCGTTTTTGGTGAAGAGTTGATGTCTTCCGGTTTCTACTTCTTGGCGGACTTCTTTGGAGATTTCACTGCCTTTTTGGCGGGCTTTTTAGCTGCGGGCTTCTTTGCTGCAGGCTTCTTTGCTGCGGGCTTTTTAGCAGCTGGTTTTTTAGCGGTTGGTTTCTTCGCTGCTGGCTTTTTAGCTGCAGGTTTCTTCGCCGCTGCCTTTTTGGCCGCGGGTTTCTTTGCAACCTTCGCCGCTGGTTTCTTTGCTGCTTTTTTAGCGGCGGGCTTCTTTGGTTTGGCAGCAGGCTTCTTCTTTGCAACTGGCTTTTTCTTCGGCTTCTTCTCTTCCTTTGGTAGCTTGAAAGAACCAGAAGCACCAACTCCCTTAGTGTGAAGAAGCTTTCCACTAGCAGCACCCCTCTTCAAAGCCATCTTCAGGTGTGGACCGATCTCACCAACCTTGTAGTTAGCCTTGATATACTTCTCGATGGCTTGGCGCGATGAACCGTTTCGTTCTTTCAAAGCTAAGATCGCAGCTTTGATCATATCTATATAAGGTGGATGTTCGGCAGGCTTTTTCTCGGCCGGCTTCTTCGTCTTTGCCTCGGACATGGTTTCGAATCGAGTGTCTCAGTAATACTAGTAAATCGATGACCGATAGAGGTTCGCCGCGATCTATATGCGCTAAATGCGGACCGCCGAGAAAACAAATGCGAACAACATGGCGTCGTGTAATTTTGTGCTAGTTCACTTCACGTTTTGGTCCATGGGATGGTATTTTATTGTTATTATTGTAATCACGATCTTAAAAAGATAACTTTTATATCCATTTAAGAAGTTCGTGTTAAACATATTTCATTAAAGACCCGCTAAGTATGTTATTTTCAGCGAAAAAAGTACGACAACACGAAGATTTTTGAAAACATTTCGTTAATAGAGTCAAATAACATCCGTATTGAGCGTTGTTTTCCATAAAATAGATCATTTTAAGAAAGACGAACTCCCTTACAATCAATTTTTACCCTTAAATCGCGCTGATCTACAATTTCCCATGGATAAATGGCATTTATATATGAACAACAAAGACAAAGACAGATCAGTCTTCTCTTTGCCTCTGTTTTCCGCGTGAAAGATTTTCATATCCAACCAACTATTCAAAATGAAATGTGAAAACAGGGAAATTTTGGGTTTATTTGATTCATTGAGGAAGCTAAATGAAGGATTTCTTGTAAAATGCTATGAATTTTGGAGAATTGGCGTGCCAGGACCGATCTGTTCGTCTGAAATAACTTCACTATTTAAGTTTATCCATCGGCCATCATGCCGCTCTCTCTTATTGTGTTCGCGTCTCAGTGATTTATTCGCTGTTAAGTCCTGAACTAAAACAGTGAAAATATGTTATTTTGGAAAGTTTGAGAAATTAAAAGAAATAAGTTGGGAACTGAAGCGACCACAGCAAGATTTCAAGAAGTTACGACTATTTCGAAGCCAAACACAATCCCACAACACATGGCCTCTGAATACGAAAAACCTAATAACTTTAATATGCCCATCGATCGACTCAGCTATAACTATAAAATTTACGATCTTACAACAGAGAAAAAACATTGGATAATTAAAAGCCACAAGGTTGAAAATTCTACTCGTTCGTTATTCAAGGCAAAATGCGCGCAAAATCTTCCTACGTACGTGAGTCAATTTTGCCACAAGGGAGTAAGAGCCGAGAGAAAGATTTATCGCGAATGCTATATTTCTTTTCGCATTTATATTTCTCACGAATATAAACAGTAGTAGCTGAGGTGTTCGTTAATAAACTACATGTTAAAGACAATCCTTTATAGACTCGAGGAGAGCTCTGAAGTAACCGCTTCAATCTCGTGCACTCCTCGGCTTTTTGTGACAGTTTTTGTTAGCTAGGCGGCTAGTTTTGGCAGTAGAGCATATTCCGTTAAAGCGTGAAAAGTGATTGAATTCTCCAGGCGGACAACTTTTAAAATAATGGGTTTTGAAGCACATTCCAAGTAATCTAGATATTGACGGTCATTGCATGGCAAATGTGACTGAGATCGACTTTTTTTTCCATTGAATGTAGTAATTACAGGTCTCGTAAGCAGGGTCATATAAATTATATATGCCGGCATAATTTTAGCCATTATGCTACCTGCTTATAGTCAGAGCATCGAAGATGTCGCCGGCTTATCGACTGAACTTCTTAAAATTTCTTTGATGTTACGGTTCAAGAGATAAATAGTGCACCCTGAATACTGTTAAAAGTGTGCCTGTTTTTTTTTCTTACGCTTTAGAGATTTGAAACAGGAAGCTTGTGTTATGAACTTCTCTCGACCTTTGTAAGCCTTTAATTCTTGGCAAGTATCACCTGTTGATGGAAGAGAAGTCTGAGGAAAACTTTTAAGCTATTATTTATCATAGTGAACAAGATGAAACTTTCATTATAATTTTGTAATTTCAGAGGTGACGCTCATAAGCATCCTATATCCAAATTTACGAGCAAAGCATATCTGACCCTTCGATATCAGTTGTTGCCTATATTTTATAAACTTTATTGGTCATTGCTTTTATTCATGTGGTGGCTCCTATAGGAGCCGTTTGTTTTGTGGAGGTTCTTCACTTAAGCTCGTTCTCCGCGGATTCGGCGGGCCAACTGAATGTCCTTAGGCATGATCGTGACACGCTTGGCGTGGATGGCGCACAAGTTGGTGTCTTCAAACAGACCAACAAGGTAAGCTTCGCTAGCTTCTTGAAGGGCCATCACAGCCGAGCTTTGGAAACGCAGATCTGTCTTGAAATCTTGAGCGATTTCTCGCACAAGACGCTGGAAGGGCAGCTTGCGGATCAACAGCTCGGTGGATTTCTGGTAACGACGGATCTCACGAAGAGCGACCGTACCAGGCCTGTAACGATGAGGTTTCTTGACTCCACCAGTAGCAGGAGCGCTCTTACGAGCTGCCTTAGTGGCGAGCTGTTTACGTGGAGCTTTTCCACCAGTTGATTTTCGTGCAGTTTGCTTGGTACGAGCCATGTTTCCAACGGTTTCGAGAAAGATAACCGAAGTTTGAAGAGTAATATGTTTATATCAGGCGGGCTTCTTTCTGATTGGTTCAAAATTAAGATTTTGATTGGCTAAATCCAGCAACTCTGAATAATTTCACAGATCTGTGGTCGCATTTGGATCCAAATGATGATGATGTATTTTTTCCAGCTTTATTCATACTATCCTGACATAAGACTTACAAATGACAAAATGTTTTGGAACATTTGTTACTTGAGATTCGATTTTGGAATTACCAGTGGAAAAGAACATTTCTGTTTTCTATAAAGTAAGTCCTGTGCTTCTAGTGTGGATTTATTGTAATGTATGGTAATAAAACTGTATCTATTTACAAGCTCTTAACCAATGAGAATACTCATGGATGTCTTGTTTTCTACGAGGTCATCCGTCTGTGTATATAAAGCCCAAGTTACAGCAATAACATATATCAGTTCTAGTTGAACCCATTGACATGTCTGGTCGCGGTAAAGGAGGTAAAGGTCTCGGAAAAGGAGGCGCTAAGCGTCACCGAAAAATCCTTCGTGATAACATCCAAGGTATCACTAAGCCAGCCATCCGTCGTCTTGCTCGCCGAGGCGGTGTAAAGCGAATCTCTGGCCTGATCTACGAGGAGACCCGTGGTGTTCTTAAAGTTTTCCTTGAGAACGTGATCCGTGATGCTGTGACATACACCGAGCACGCCAAGAGAAAGACTGTGACAGCCATGGATGTGGTGTACGCTCTGAAGAGACAAGGCCGCACTCTGTACGGATTCGGTGGTTAGACAGACCCTTCTGAAACAAAACAAACGGCTCCTTTAGGAGCCACCAAATCTTATAAAAGTCTTGACCAATAAAACTTAAATAGTTAATTCCCGCCTCTCGAAAGTAACATCTTAGGTCATCTTACTCTTGGCTATAGTAAGCTACACAACCTTTTCGGCTGTCACACTCTCTCCACCTCTTCACGCTCGCGCACAACTCAACAGTTTGCCACGAAGCTGTGCGTAAACGTATTGGATAGTATTTACTGCGAACCTCAATTGCACTCTTGAAGAATATGAAGAAAAGTTATTTATAAGTTATTTATGTTGTTTGGTGCGTCTTATCATTGGGAAAAATTTGCATATCGGGTTTTGGCGCAATTTCTAGAGTGATCAATTGCCCATGACGACCGTTCAGAAAGATGCCTTCACGCACGAAGCGTTGATCCCATTTTATCTTATTGAAAAATAAAAGCTGACTAAACACTGTATTTCACGCTGATGAAATAACTTTCATGAAAAAAGAGGATTTAATTCCTCATGTGATCAAATAATCTTCACATACTTCGGTTTTAACTCTGCGCCTTATTAGCGCACAGATCTCAGGAGCAATATAGCATAGAAAAAAAGGTGTTCGCATATAGGAGGTCAACGAGAATTGAATTGTCTATGGGAATTGAGTTATCTTAGATCGAGTTTTGGCGCAAATTACTGCAACGTTCACTGATATCGTGAGCTTACCCAGAGGGGCAAATCAAACTGATAACAATGGTGTAGCTTGAAGGAAAAAATCTCAAATTCAGATCTTGGGAACATCTCAGGAAAAGGAATTTTTTGCACTACGCTGGAGAGTCTTATTATTGCTTATTAAAATAGGTTAATATTTAGTTGGTACTTATGTGTTATTTCGCTCATTGGTCAAGACTTTTGTCGTACTTGGTGGCTCCTAAAGGAGCCGTTTTAGTGAATTATAGCCGATTTAAGCCTTGGCTTTCTTCTCGGTCTTCTTGGGTAGAAGCACAGCCTGAATGTTAGGAAGAACGCCTCCCTGGGCAATAGTGACACCGGCCAGCAGCTTGTTTAACTCTTCGTCATTACGCACAGCCAGCTGAAGGTGACGGGGAATGATTCTTGTCTTCTTGTTGTCACGAGCAGCGTTGCCCGCCAACTCGAGGATCTCAGCGCTCAAATATTCAAGCACCGCAGCCAAGTACACTGGTGCACCGGCGCCAACTCGCTCAGCATAATTGCCTTTGCGAAGAAGACGGTGAATTCGACCTACAGGGAATTGTAGCCCTGCTCGTGATGAGCGGCTCTTGGACTTGGTGCCCTTAGCTTTACCTTTACCGCGACCAGACATGATGTTACATACAAGTTTTAACGGATCAATAGTATTTATGACCTCCAACTCTTGTATTTATAGTTCGTTTATCATGCAGGTAGGATCGAAAAGCACCAATCGGTTGTTAGTTTTCAATGAGCTTAATCCCTAAATAAAGAAAGAATGCTTTGCTAATTGACCCCAATGTTAGCAAAGCAATGAGCCAATCATTTATCGAGAATTTCGATCCGTATGATAATAGATCCTCTTACGTTTCTGTTATAAATACAAGACGAGTTGCGCTGCTCATCTATTCATCGTTGTGATTTAGCAAGATGCCAGCTAAAGTTGCAGGAAAGAAAGGCGAGAAGAAAGCCGGAAAGGCTAAAGCCATTGCTGATGGAAAGAAGAAGAGGAGAGGAAAGAGAAGGGAAAGCTATGCTATCTACATCTACAAGGTGTTGAAGCAAGTTCACCCCGACACTGGTATCTCCAGCAAAGCCATGGGCATCATGAACTCGTTCGTCAACGACATCTTCGAGCGCATCGCCACCGAAGCTTCCCGCCTTGCCCATTACAACAAGAAGTCGACCATCAGCTCTCGCGAGATCCAGACCGCCATCAGGCTGCTTTTGCCCGGTGAACTGGCTAAACACGCCGTGAGTGAAGGAACTAAGGCTGTGACCAAGTACACCAGCAGCAAGTAAACTCGCCTAGTGGGTTTTCCGCCAAAACCAACGGCTCTTTTAGGAGCCACCAAATGTTACGAAAGTCAATCATTAACGCAATACGAGCTTTGAAACATGAAAATGTTTCCCTTAGTATGGTTCCGAACGAAACAAAATTTTACAAACGAAGAAGTACAGCAAAGATGAGTCACAGATGAACCGGGAAAGGAAGGGTAGACTATTGTTCATGATTAATTTTACAAAATGTCACACTCAACATTATTAACACTTTGAAGAGACTTTTTTTTTTAATTTACCAACGGTAATTGCTCGATCACTTATTGCCTGACAAAACGCTGGTTTATTCCAGAAACGTGATTGATGTACAAAAGATTTCCGGAGTTTAAAGCTTTTTTAGCTGCCTACTTACGAGACGGCTGGATTGTAACGCAAATATATGCAAGTGGTTATTGAATGAGCTACGAGACACAGGTGGCCTGATCTAACCTTATTGGAAGAGTCAGACTTTCACTTCAGCCGTTTTTTTCATTTTCGCTAAGTACACAGTATACCTTAACTGTTATCTAAAAAGCTCTCTTGCTACCAAGCGCCCCATCTAAACGATCGAGAAATCGAAATAGCCTGCGAAGCTAATGGTCTTGAGTCCGCTTTAAGCGGGAAAGCGGTTTAATGAGTGAGGAAAAATGTTTCTTCTCGTCCCAAGCCTTCCGCAGCTTCTGTGCTTGAAAGCGAAGCACGAATACCGCCAGCTATACGCGATACTCGATAAGGTTGAAGTTTTAAGAGAGCAAAACTTTAGTAAGGGCCAAAACCATAATTATCGGAAAGTTAAACTCGATTATCGAAGACGGTTTAATACTCAGTTGGTCATAACTTTGTTTTCAATGTGGTGGCTCCTAAAGGAGCCGTTTGATTTAATTAGGAGTTGCTGTCCTCCTTATTTCTTGGCGGCCTTCTTCGGCGATTTCTTTGCTACTTTCTTGGCGGGCTTCTTCGCTGCTGGTTTTTTAGCCGCAGGTTTCTTTGCTGCTGGTTTTTTAGCTGCAGGTTTCTTTGCTGCTGGTTTTTTAGCTGCAGGTTTTTTCACTGCTGGCTTTTTAGCTGTGGGTTTCTTTACGGCCGCTGGTTTCTTTGCAGTCTTCTTGGCTGCTGGTTTCTTTGCTGCCTTCTTGGCGGCGGGCTTCTTTGGTTGAGCAGCAGACTTCTTTGCTGCTGGCTTCTTCTTCGGCTTCTTCTCCTTCTTTTCCTCCTTGGCCACCTTGAAGGAACCAGAAGCTCCAACTCCCTTGGTGTGGACAAACTTTCCACTCGTGACGCCCCTCTTTAAAGCCATCTTCAGGTGTGGACCGACCTCACCAACCTTGTAGTTGGCCTTGATGTACTTCTCGA